ACACACACACACACACACAGAGAGAGAGAAAGACAAAGAAAAAGACAAAGCTAGGCATACTCACAAATAAACACTGAACACAAGTATAGTGGGGTTTTTTTTGGTTTTGACTCTGCAGAATCAGAATAGACTGCCGCCATGGAAATACTAGTCAGAGTGGGCAAGAAACAAACAAAATTATGAATTTTTGACCACATGAACAAGCAGACTCAGACCTCTGTGTGGTTCAAACATCCATGAAAACCCCTGTTTTGTGGCACAAAATGGTGGAAATGGAAATTTCTTATGTAATTCCAGCATTTAAATAGCATATCAAAACTGCCTCTGGCATAGGAAGGTATTTCATTAGGATTGAGCTGCTGTTTCCTACCTCGCCCCGTCTTTCTGTTGTTGTTTTTTTCCCCCTCCTTCTCTTTTGAATACTTTCTGTTTTTTGGATTTTTCTTGACAACTGTATAAGTCTCTGTGACAGGGATAGTTCTGGTTCTATTTTTCTCTTCTTCTAACCTACATCTAAGACAATGTGATGCAATAAATTGACAGAATGACTGGTTTATAAACAGACTATTTTGCAGTCTGCTAGGTTGACCATGTGTCTAAGAATGCAAATTACAAACTGATTCTTCTGATTCATTTCTGGAAATAAATTCCTCTTAAAACCATTCCATCTTTCAATTCATTCCTCTTCATGCATCTGCCTATTTCTCTCACTTTCTCTGTAGTCCTTCTGCACCTGCATCCTCCTGACTGGTCTCCACACTGAAAAGAAAATCTGCTGGAAAAACTAAATAATCACATTTCTTCTCTCTCTTTCCTCCTCTTTTTCCTCCTGAAGTCTTCCTCTGTGTCCTCTGCCTCCTGGCAGCACTGCTGCCAGCAGCCTCCTCCTGCCCTCCTCCCTGTCTTTGCTACTCAGATGGCCTAGTGGACTGCGGAGGCCGGGGTCTCTCGTCTCTGCCTCCCCTTCACATCCTGCCTCCGGGGAGCCGCTCCCTCCTGCTAGCCAACAACAAGCTTGCCTTGCTGGGAGCCTCTGCCTTCGCTAACCTCTCCTCTCTGGAGGTCTGTCGCCCATTGTTTACTGTTGTAGTGAAAGTTTTGAGTATGTTGTATGTGTTGTTTCGTTGTCGTTTACAGTAGCGTGTGCAGTGTTTTACGCACTGCCTCACACACTGAATTACCCCCAGGACAATAAGTGATGCAGTAGGGTGGGTGTCAGACTGAGCCAACTTCAAACAACCTATGCTCTTAGTCTGGAAACTTGAGAAAAGTTGACATTTTCAAAATTTTGCAGGGCTACTCACCATTAGCATATTGTGTGCACAGCACAGCCAAGTTGGTATTTCAAATATAAGAGCAAAAAATGATGGATAGTTACTGCACCTGCCAGAAAGTCTTGATAAATACAACCTTATTAGTTACAACCTCTGGCTGCTGTCTTATATATTATTACTGTTTGTTATTTAACACATCAGATACAATTGATTAGGTCAATGCTTAATGAACAGTAAAACTGTATTCATCAGACTCCATTCACAATTATTTCCTTCAAGAAAACACACAGTACTTTTTATCACCATATATGATATATATCAGGGCTCTACCTTTTTCACCATTTTTAAGTAATTCAACTTAAATCATGTAAGTGTCTAAAATGCTGATATGTATGGGAATAAAAATGTTTTTTTGTGTGTGTATTTTAGGAGCTGGACCTCTCTAATAACTACCTGGATAATTTACCAGCAGGATTATTCAGAGATATGTCCAACTTGACAAAACTGACTCTGCACAACAACTCACTAACAGTAATGGACAGAGAACTCTTCCAGGTAGGCACTGTAGATAATATATAACACCATACTCGCTACAGTCTACAGTATAGCAGTACTTCATTCATAAAATATTTCCCACTCCCCCCCCCCACACACACTCTTGTTTGTCTGTCATATACTGTGTGAGATCAGTCAATCAAAAACAAAAATGCTGATACCACTACTGGTACACTGTTTCATCTCCTGGGTGAGGCTCTACAGACTCTGTTTAGGAGCGGAGCCAACCCGAGCAGATATACATGACTGGGCTTCTGTCCAGGTGGTAAATTAATAATAAACTATTTGCTCAACACTTTCATCCACTTTTATCTGAACCAAAGCAGTCTGCAGGATGAGCTTGTGTCATGACTTCACTTGGGACCCTAAATTGAACAAGATTAGCCCATCAGGAGATGCAAGTAGTGCCTCTTGGCAACTGTGAAAAAAGCCAATAATACTAATATGGGTTTTGGGAGAAGTGAATTGTACAGTACTGTAATGTCTGAGCAAATATGGATACACAAAGAGCTTGTTTGGATGTTTCTACAGGGTTTGGGGGGTCTTCAGAGTCTGGATCTGTCCCTGAACGGTCTGTCGTCTGTTCCTCTGGGGCTACTGGATGAGCTGCAGAGCCTCAGGTAGACATCAACAAACACACTGTACACTGACATGGTTAAATAAATGTGCTCTTGCAGACTCCCAGAGCAACATTTGCGCAACATTATCACCATCCTCCAGAGAGGATGTCAAAGGTCAGGATCAAATCAATATAATAATATGGATATTAACAAGAATGTTTCTCCAATATCAATATACAGTATATCACAGCATGGCAAATGTATGCAAAATTACGTATCACATTATTAAATTGATGTTCAGTTGATTGATGTGTTCAGTGTTTTTACAGTACAGGATGGCAATTTTAAATCAGTGCTACACAGGTAAACTCCTCTCTTTAACTAGAATTAGGAGAATAAATTACTTTTATTCTAATTATTTCATAGGTGGCTCTCTCTAGCGGGTAACAGGCTTCAGGGTTTGGAAAGGGCAGCGTTTGAGCCGCTTGCCAACCTACAACACCTGGAACTGGGACACAACCCCTGGGAATGTGACTGCAACCTCCGCGATTTCAAACACTGGATGGAGTGGTTGCTGTACAGAGGTAGATGTTTGATTTCTGTTAGATGAGCTTTGAAAGGGTGTGTTTGATTTCAATCTGGGGATAGGACAAGAGGGCAAAGGAGTCATGAAGCGATGGGCAGAAACTAGAGAATGTGAGTTCCCCCTTACAGATAGGTGTGTGTTTCTATTTATTCCTGCCTGAGCTTCTAGCAACATAACTGCATGTGTGTGTGAATGCACATTACCACGCTCATTGTGTGTACCACGTGTCTCTGCAGGCTGTTAATACATCAGATAACCACAGCTGCTCTCCGCTCTCTCTTCATGTGTAAAATCTACATTCACCTCAGCGCCTCGGGCCTCAGCTGCCCCGCTAATGAAGCATCTCTTCTCTTTTCTGCTCCATTCTCCTATTTGCTTCATTCTGCTCTCTTCTGCTTTGCTGGGCTCTACTCTCTCCAGCTCAGCTCACTACACTTCAGACGGAGACTGACACACGGCGGACATGATAATTTAATAATCATCAGAGCAGCAGAGAAAATTTACAAGGAGACATTTCGTCGTTGAACATGAAAGCATGACAGTAGTTGTTAAAAGGGTAGATGATGCACGATATGTGCTATAGAAAGTAAGACAAAGCACCGAACAAGTGTGAAATGCTTGGTGACAGCAGCCCGTGTTGACTTCTGTCTCCTGCAAACCACTTCGAGCATACACACAGCTGGGATATTCGGAGATATTTGGAGAGCGAGCTCTGTTTGCAGAGGGGATTCTTTAGTCACACGCCGAGATAAAACCATCTGGGGGCTAAATACCACTTTCCTCATTCTGTCTTTCTACTATCCTCCTCCTTTATCTCATTGTTTCTGTTGCTTTACGTATCTGACGGCGATCAAAAACCTTCCAACGCACGACCACGAGACGAGTACTATGTGTGGAGACAAATGCAGCATGTGATGATAACAAAGTAGAGCCCCCACCCTCCTGCCGCCTGTGGGAATTAGTGACTCAGATATTTCCCTCTTCCACACATACACTAGAACTCTGCTGAAGCTAGGCATGTCATCTCATGAATTATAGAAGGGCTTATTTGAGGCTATCTCCAACTTAGTGTAGAGGGCACAGCAAACTCTGTGTGTGTGTTAAGTGATGTATGACTCATCCTAGTGTTGGTTCAACCACCCCCCTCTCCATCTTTGCCTCTCTCTCAGTTAATTGGTAGTGCTTTGCAGGCATAAGGCATTTTATAAATGACCTCTCCCTGCCCTCCTGTCTCTGCACCTCTTTCTCTCTCCGTCAGGGGGTAAGGTGGACGCGGTGGAGTGCACGCTGCCGAAGGATCTGCGTGGGCGAGACATCCGTGGGGTTCCAGTGGAAATGTTCAACTACTGCCTCCAACTTGAAGATGAGAACGGAGGTGGAGGAGGTGAGGGTTCCCGTTCTGGACAAGGAGGCGGTCCTCCCTGCAGCAGGAACGCACTTAGCCCCAGTGGGGCAACACCAATTTCTGACAACAGCAACACTGGGGATGACTCCTCTTCAAACACGGGAGGTGGAGGAGGCGGGGAGGCCCCGGCAGATTGCGTCCGGGCCCGTTACCGGCCAGTGAGTGTGCGCCGCGCCATCGGCACCGTGGTGATTGCTGGTGTGGTGTGCGGCATTGTTTGCATCATGATGGTGGCAGCCGCGGCTTACGGCTGCATCTACGCCTCGCTGATGGCCAAGTACCAGAGAGAGTTGAAGAAGAGGCAGCCACTGATGGGAGATGGAGAGGCAGACGGGGACGATAGGGAGGAGAAACAGATCTCCTCTGTGGCCTAGGGGAGTGACGGGACGTGGGAGGGGTGGCTTGTCAAAGAGTGAAGGTTTCGAAGGGGCGAAAATTAAAAGGGCTCGAAGAGGAGAGAGATGGAAGAGCTTGTTTTATGCACAGTGAAAGTTATGGTACCTCTCCCTCTGACTCTCAAACTGACATCTTTCTCCCGCTGTTTGTCTTCCTTTCTTGGCCCTCTTTCTATTTTTAACCTTCTCCCTCTCTGTCCCTCTCTCTAACACACTCCCTCACATGCCTTATCTGTTCCCTGATTTTCTCCTCCATTTAGAGCCTTTACTCACTGCAGTATTTGTTACCAATCATCCCTCCAACTCGCCTACCAACCACCTACTGCTGCTCTTGGCTGCTGCTGAATTTACCGTTATACTGGCAGAGAGAAAAAATTATTTGATACTCTCTCTAGTATGAAACATATCATTTAAGCTGTTACAAGGTACGATCAGTCAGTATTTCTAAAACTGGATTGAATTTTCAGGGATATACAGTATATATGGTGTCGACTGGACCAACATTCACAACAATGAGAAGAATTTGTGGTATTAGGTAGTGCCCAGCTCTTGTTTTGTTTGCATCTTTCTCCTCCTCAACCTCTCAAAAGCCAATAGTTTCTCCAAAAAACCAGGACCCCAGTCGAGATCCCTTCACCCTTGTCCAGCCTAATGCTCCTCCTGCATTCCGTTGGACCTCAAAGTCTCAAAGAAACAGACAGTTATGGAAAGTTTGGGGGAAATGACAGCAACGTTGTGGATAAACATAAAGAGATGTCATTTCTATAGTCAACATCTACTGGGGATACATACAGATAATATGTTAATAGGAAATCAAACATTGTCTCCTGGGTCTTGTGTCTCCTGAGACTTGTTTACTAAGGAACAGGAAACCATTTGGATGGATAAAATGATCATTTATGGATTCAAATACATGAGGTCAGAGACAACGGTTAGATATTCTCCCCTATTTGAACTGGAACTGTTTCTCTCTGGATTTTCTCTGGACTTATAACATCTTCCAGGTGTCACAGACTGGAGCTGTGCAAGAGATTCTACAATGAATCTTATCCATATGGGGAACAAACCATTTTAACTGGAATTTGAATTTGCTGTATTTGTCACTTTTTCGCAGAATAAGGTTCTTGCTTACTTGATGCTTGTTCAATGATTATGGTCAGTATATGGTGAAAAAGCGATCAAACTAATTTTCTGGTATTTCTTGGACTATGCTTCAGGTTCAGAAAAGTGTTCACAACAATGCTGTGAGATTTAAAGGACCACAGACTTTGCTTGAAAGCAGATCTTCTTTGATTGGAGCTCATTTTCAGACTGATTTCACCCCTCAGAGGTGAATGTTTGCTACTATGGCATGGAAGCACTATCTCAGAGAACCCTGTCTCCTGGCAAGGACTACAGAAATTCATCTAAGGACTACAAACTTCAGACTCCTGCACTTTATTTCCCTACTCAGATCCTCTCTGGCTTCCCTCTCCCTCCTCCCTTCCCTCTCTTTCTTTCTAAAATGGACGATTTGCCCAGAGGGATTATTATGTACAAGGGATTAAACAAAAAGACGCTGCTATTTTTCCCCCTCCTCCTTCTCCTTCTCATCCCTTTATCTCTCCATCCATCTTTCCATCCAGTGCTATTTATGGAAAGTTTTTCACTCTTCCTTTAAGACCACCTCCTTTCTTTCCTTTTATCAATCCCTTCTCCCATACTGTTGTCCTTGTGTTGTTTCTGAAAGGTCAGCAATATGCAATGGAAGGGGTGTCACCATAACATGAAAATTTTGTTACTGCCAAAGAGCCCTTATGCTGTAAACTTAGTAATCATCACTTAATCGAGGAGTCTGTTTGATTCACATGCTTTGTCAGTGCATTCACAAAACAGGTTAGTTTGTTTGCTTTACATAGTCTTTTCATAAACATCTCTATTTGTGACCTGAATTATTTATGTAAGCTTTAACATTGTGTTGTCCTGTCTACATATCTAAAAAATCAGGCTTTCATTGCATATTGCTCCCCTACAGTAGAACAATTGTTCCCTCTCAATTTCCAATTGGCTGGAAATAAACTTATATTAATAGTGTGTTATCTTATACCTGGGTATAATGCAGATAAATATTATTATATTAGTCTCTAATATGGTGTGTTGGCCCAGCGATCCCCAAAATGTTTTTGAAGTAACTGTTTATTGTTTTTCTGTATCAATTCATGATGTACGTCTTTTGTTGTGTTGATGACTTCTATGTTTTGTTTTAAGTTTTAATATCTCTGTAATGTTTGTTTATTCGTCGTGTTCATTTATTTGTATTTAATAGTTGGTAACGTTTCTGCAAGAGGCATAGAGAGAGTTTGACCATTGAGAATAAAAAGGGCCCCATACTGCTGCCTCGTCTCTGAAATGTATCAGGGTGATTTATTTAGCGTAGAATCACATAGGCGACAGGTGAACTTATTGTTTAAATAGGATTTTATATTTTATTTAGTGCTTTAGAACTGCGTATATACATTTTTCATTATTTAAATATATATTATATATATATATTATTCATTATTTCAGAATAGCTAAATATGAATATAGAATATTATTGGTAAAAGACTAAGCTGGTGGGAATTAAAGAGGCAAAAAAAGTTATTATTTGATCCTTCAGTTCAGTAATGATCAAGTCTGATTTGCAAATTAAGTTAACAATGGTCACCTCACCGATGTAAAGAAATAGAGAAGTTAAGCTGGTCAAAATAATTTGGAGATGACATGTTTAAAAACGTAGCAAAGTAAAGCGATATTTTGAAGGGACTCTGGGGCAGTAATTGAAAAAAAGCAATGGTTAAACTCTGTCTATAAATGTAGAAACACTGTCCTCTCATCCCCTGGTCTGCAGGTCTTGTGTTGTTGGTAGCTAAGTATCTTAGCTAGCTGAAACATGTTCATATAGCCTGTGTGTGTAAAGCATAATAAATTCTAGTTTGTTACGTAAAACTGCAGCAGCCATGATGACTGAGGGCCTCAAAGAATACAGTGCCCAGAAATCTATGGTGTGTAGTGTTATTATGAAGATTGTTATTATGACAATGATGATATGATGATGATGAAGCATTTCCTGGTCAATATGCATTGATTTAAATAAAAACATATCACACTTATGTCAAATTTACATCCAGACCACTGACAAGATTTGACAACTATCTTTTCTTTCAAAATGATCAATAGCACAAAATAAAATAGATATTGACTGAGGTAGGAAATTTAGGTAAAAGATAATACCTTTACAGACTAGATCCTGGATATTTTACACATGCAATATTGGGTAATTACAGTAGCCTAACATTATCTATTTAATTTTTTTATTTTAATTGCCAGTTACACAACTTCAAAAAGTGTTTTTCATATATGGTTTTAAGTCAAATGGTGGGAAAAATATGTCTTTAAGAGTACAAATTACTTTTTTGGGTGAACAGAAAGCCTGAAAATATGATGTTGTGAGATATAGGTAGAAACTGAAGTGGAATAAATACACAGGGTCGAATGAGAATATAAATCAGTCATGATAACAGCTCCTCTATGCTGCATCCTATCTGACTTTCTCTGTCCGAAGCCCTCTATCTCCTCTCACCTTTCTGTATTTCTCATTTTCTCTCTCCTCTCTTTTATCTTGTCGCCATTTATCTTTCTGTCGCCTCTCCTCCCATAATTTTTTTAGTCTTCTCACCATTTCCCTCATCTCTGCCCTCTTTATCCTTTGCTCTGTTCGGTCTATTGTGAGTCTTTTTTCGCTTTTTCACCTCTGCATCGTACCTCCCTTTCTGCCTCATTTTTATCCTTATTCCCTGTTTCCTCTCCTCCTCCTCCATGTCAAATATCCTCTCTCTATCCTTTATTCTTTTCCTACTCAAGCGCTCTGTCATTTTTATTTACCTACTTATCTCTCGTTCTTCCAGTCTGCTTCTCTGTCAATAGGAGTGTATTAGGTTTTATTTACATACAGCCTGTCACTTCTGCCACAGAGATATACTAATCCATTGCTGAGCCTTAGAATAGTATAAACACAGTCTTTATTGTAGTCACTGTTGACTGATTTTGGATCAGCCTCTGAAATACCAAATCCTTGGCCTTCATCACAGGAGGAGAAATTAAATCTGCCACCAAATCAGCATTAAAGCTAAACACAAACTACAATGAAACACAGAGGGGGTAAATGACCAGTTTCTGTTCAGACAAACACTGACACTCAGTGGTCAGAAATTAAATTACAACCTTTAATAATAATTATACTATAATAATTATTATTTGCATTTAACAGGAACGACAATTTTCACCTATGAAACACAGCTCGGTTGCATAAGCTAGCAACTTTCTATTCTCTTTGTTTCTGATAATGTGAATGTCTGATGATATAATCTACAAAATGCTACAGTATTATTAGCAACATGCATTTGTGCAAACCAGCAGTGTAGATAGCTAGAAAGTCTTGTGTACTGTTTTTACAGTGGTCCATATTTTCGTGTAACAGAGCTGACCAGAGAATGTTTTCTGAGTTGGTTTTGCGTGCATTTTCAGGTTTTACAGTATATGGAAACTTGTTTTAACACTAGATCAAGGCATTTGTAATAAACACCATACACGTATAGTAGTCATGCCAAAGGTGAGTACTGTACAGCTTTATGATTGTATGTGTGTGTGCATCCCTTTGACAAGGCAGCTTTTGAATATCCTCCTTTGTTCAGAAGACAAACGTGACTTCGCTTACCCAGATGCAGCAAGAAATACAGTAGACAGAGGAAGTGAGCGAAATAAGGACTAAGAGAGAGAGAGAGTGACACGACAGGGGAAAGAGAGTAACGAGGGGAGGAGAAAGACAGAAAAAAAAGTGTAGGGAGGAGAAGGGAGACAGATCTGACAGCTTCGGAGGAGAGAGGCTAAGAAAAGAGAGATGTATGTGAGGGTTTAACAGGGCCAGGAAGAGTGTCAAAGGGTGAAACACGATGAGTAGTGTGCATGATTGTGTGTGTATTTTTTTTGTGAGGGTGTGTTAAAGAAAGTCAAAGAGCAAGTCTATAAAACATTGATACTGCTTTTCCTTCTATGTTGTTAAAGTGAAACTGCTGGTAGAAAAGCTGTTCCACATCCAGTAACGCAACGGGGAATAAAAACATATACAACCTTTTACCTCCAATAGTTGACCATTGTATGACCATCAACATACAAAAAAAGCCTCTTTACATTGATTAATATGACTGAAGATCCTTTTCATTTTTAATACAGTACGCTTACTTTCATGTAAATGCTGATTTTTGATGTAATAGTTACTGAATTTTCAAAAAAAAGTACAGTAGGCTATAGCAGAGCTGTGGATTTGACATACTGTGACGTTAATGTTCCCAAACAAGCAGAGAGAGAAAGAATGAAGCAAAATGGAGAAAAATATTATGACTTTATATTAATTAAAAAACTGTAAGAATGAGAGGCAATGAGATTACGAGACCAACAGAAACACGTCTATTTTGAACTCTTTCTCACTTCTCCCTGCTCTCCCTGTTTTCCATTTCCAAATATAACATGATTTTCACACCTGAGACAATTTCTACGAAAGCTGTGAAATACAGATAAGCACGGGTGTTTGTGTGTGTGTGTGTGTGTGTGTGTGTGTGTGTGAGTGTGTATGTGTAAGTGTGCATGGGGTGATTTTATGTCTGTTAGCATAATGAGACACCAAATGCATGCAGGTATAGACACACACACACACACACACACACACACACACATACATATGCTCTAAGGATGCAGCTCCAGAGAGCCTTGTCTCACCCAGATAATTATGACTGATGAGTGTGTCAGCCACAGATGGGCTTGCCAGGACAAAACACACGCTAACACGCACATCAGAAAGCCGTGAAACAAAGTCAGAGACTATGAACTGTAAGACAAAATGTTTCTGCGTGAAATACACACTGGAGCACAGACACACTCAAACACAGCTCAATAAACGTTATGGAGTCATCTGAAACATCTTTAAGAAAAGATACCGCACACATAATCATCAAGAGCCTCAGTGAAATTAGAGATTAGGAGCTATTGAAGAAACCACACACAACAAAGGTACAGTACTCTCCAGGCATCACAGGTAGATCTTCAAATTTCTATTTTATCAGTGCACTTTTAGGACTTAATGACGATAAATCACTAAATCACTGGAACATCTACTACATGGTCATTGTGGTAAGATTTTGTTTTCAAATAAATATTTTATTGGCAGCATATTCTTGTGTATATTATACTTAATTTTTCTTAGTTCAAAATAGTTTTATTATGTGTCTATGCATTCAATTAATCTTATATATATTAATCTTATGTATACTGATATCTTTAAAACAAGGTAATTTATTGTCATTAGCTTTTTATAATTTACTAATATCAGTATTGGCCTCAAAAATAGGTCAAGTTGGGTTCTATTCACAGCTCCTGTCTAAATTCTTTATCCCCTTGTGGAAATTGATTTACTTAGGGATCTTCACATCTTACACAAATTTCACACAGATCACAAAATCCTGTTGTCGTCGAAAGACCTTATCTTATCCAAAGCAACTTCCAGTCAGTGCAACAACAGAATAAGTTTAAGTGACTACTCAAATATAAATGTAAACAAGCTAAACTCACAACCAAAGTTTGCCCTTAATTTGTCTTGGAGTGAAATCCACAGCACGTCCATGGCAAAGGGTTACTGACAAATCAGCACATCAACAGCAAAATGCTGATTGGAAGGTGATGCTACCAGCAATCACCGTCAAATCAGCAAGTTCAAATGTCACCAACAAATCAGCCAGCCAATTTTACTGTGTGAAAACCGCAAGAAAAGACAGACAGGAAGAGGAGAAAAATAGCCAAGAATGAAGAGACAGAGGATACATTACATTACAAACAAGAGAAAAGAAAGAATGTAAAGAGAAGATTAAAAAGGAGAGAGAAAGAGAGAGGGAACTGTGGCATAAAATGTGTGTGAGAGAGTGTGTAATTAAATGGAAATTGTCATCCTACCTCCAGCGATGGCAGTTTTCTTGCCCACCGTAACAGTGACAGCAGTGGCAGCAATCACTATCCTCCCTGCTGGTACAGCAACACACACACAATTAGCAATAATTTACATTACTTTATCAACACATGCGTGAGGAAACATGGATGCATGCACATCACAAACAAACAAATGTTCCTTCCGAATACATAAACATGCATGAGTATATACATGCACAAGGACTGAAAAGGAAAATGTTCCCAGAAATATTCATTTTCTCACACACTGAATACATCATTTATAAGTCTGCCAACACTAACAGTGATAGTGACAGCTGAAGTGTTAGTACATATATGCCAAAATGTGTTTAAAAAATATGTGGGTGACAGATTGACTCAGTAAGTAATGTTTAATAAAGTCATGCATTCATCTTCTGTGTCTCTATTCACAGCCTTTATGCCAGCTGACGCCAACTGTCAGAAAGCCACAGATTCCAGCCACATTAACAGTTTAAGCATTATATAACACAGGGTATGAGAGCTAATCGACTATTACACTCAAAACAGAAGAACTGTGTGTCTCTTTACTACGTGTTTCCATGTGTCCCATGTTTCTATTTATGTTATTCACTCCTTTAAGACAAACCCGGTGATAAGGCGTGGGATTTCTTGCCACTGAATGTAATTTAAAACATAATTTAGTAACAGAATGACGGGTGTAATACAGCCAGCAAACTCAACAATTTTTAATAAGGATTAATCGAAGACAGAAGAGACACTGACTCAGCACAATGCAAATGAACCAGACACCTTACTGGCTCCCTAAGAGAGGAGAGGAGGTTCCCATACTCTGATGGCATGCTCATGCAGTGAGCGAAAGAAGACAGAGAGAGGAGGAGGAATGAGACAGAGAAGAAAAAAGAGAAACAGCGCAGATGTAGAAAAAGACAAACAGACTGTTAAAGGGAAGGGTAAAGAAACGGAAAACAGCACTCGTCATGCTTTGAAATTAGGGTGAGGAAGAACAGAATGAGGATGAATAAAAAGAGGAGACATGCCAAGTACAAGTAAAAGTTTTCCTCTACCCTCCTCCTCCTCATCCGCCTCCCTCCGTTTCCTCCCTCCCTCCTCCGCTTGGAGTTCCACCTCCTCTGCTCTGAAGGTGGCGCTATAGTCAGCCTCATAGTCCCTGAATATATCTGAACACAACAAACTATATCTAACATCAAGCTAAAACATATATAAGGGCATTTTTGTACATTTGTACTTTAATGGGGAGGTTTAAAAAGATGGCGGTATAATAAAATGTTTCGTTATATCAATGTGAATACAGCATGAAACATTTTTCACCATCTTAAAGTAGGACTTAGAAATAGAGTTTCAAACTTTAAAAGTGTGAATATCCTATAGTGTCCAGTATCTTTTATAGGTAAGATCAAAATTTTAATCATCCGTAGATTCAGTACACACATGCATACTTACTTTAAGTAAGTGTGAAAGTGGATATATACACACACCCTGTATTCTGTCATGAGGAAGGGCAGTATTATCAGCCCTACACTCATTGAACATGCTTTATTTGAACAAATTTACATTTAAGTCTGCACTGTGTCGAGCCTTTGTTGCTACCTAAAGCACTTTGTGTTAAATAAAGCACTATGAGCACTTACAATATACATTGTGTTCTAGCAGAGCTGAATAAGACAATTTAATCCAGAGGCAGTGAAGGGCAGGGCTCAAAATCCTTTCGTTTTTTTTATACTGACTTTCATCTCTCAACTAGATTTAAAGATGGAGTTAAGTGTTAGTATGATGTGATGATAAACATGATGACAGTAGCAGTTAACTTTGGAGCTGCAGATTATTCTTCACAACAGCAAAATTACCAGAATATGAACTATGGTGAAGAATAAACCTAAACAGAATATTAATCAAGAGTGAAATGACACAAAAAAACATTTTTCAAACCTGCACTGCATACAAACTACAAAAATACACAACTAGTAGACAAATAAACAGAAAGCAGCAGCTGTAGTGTGCAGGCTACAGAGAAATGAGCCTGTCACTGAGAGATTTCTGGCTCAACCTACTGAACATGGCTGAGAAAACTGCAAATAAAACAGTACAAAAAGTGTTTTGTGTGCCCTTGTGTGTGTGTATCTGTGTGTGTGTTTGTGTATGTGTTTGCTCAGTAAAGGTATGTCCTCTACCTCTAGTCTCCTGTCTGGGCATGTAGTATAGAAACTGTCCAGCTGGGTACTCAGCTGCTCTGCGATACCACACTGGGAAATGGTCCAAAGTGAACATATTCTCCTTGTCTGTGGAGGTCAGGAAAGACCTGGGGAGAGACAAAAATAAGCTGAAAGTAAAAAAAAACCTACTATCTATTGCCTAAACATTATGATAAAAGGAAAGGAGGAATAAGGAAAATGAGGATAGGATAAAGTGTTGAGTCAATTATGTTGAAAGGATGTGAAAAAACAGCACAGCAAAAAAAAAAAAAAACAGTGAGATAAAGTGGAAAATGAATAAAAGGGGAGGAGAATAAGAAAAAATAGAAGACTGAAAAAGTGACATATGTGAGTGAGTGAG